TGGCTGTGGCTACAATGTAGCTTGCCATCACCAGTGTATGAATGACTGAATGTAGTGTAAAGCGCTTTGGGGTCCTTAGGGACTAGTAAAGCGCTATACAAATACAGGCCATTTACCAGGCCATTTACACAATGGACAATTGGATGCTGTGACTGTGAGAGTCTGAGGCTGTTTCTCCATTGAAAAAAGAAAGAAAGAAATAAACACACAAATAATTAAACTCATTAAAATTCAGATGATAAATTTGTGATAAGCATTTGTGTGATGAACTAAAGAGGAAAATTTGTGAACGAACTGATATAACACTAGAATTTCACTCAATTAAAACTGTAGGACATACTTCCCAGGATGGTCTGCATGAAAATGAAAAATGCTCTAAAAAAAGGCTCTTCAGATCAGTAATAAAATTACACATAATACAACCTTTGACTTGCTCGTTTGCTGTTATCAAATTGTATTATGTTTGTCCTTCCAGCGATCTAAGTTTTGAATGTTTCTCTCTAAATTTGTTCTGAATATGTTTGGGCTACTCTACCCATGCAGTCATGTGAAAAATTATGCACAAACTTACTGCTTCCATGGGAATTAAGAAGTAAATAGCAGCCAAGTGCTAATAACCAAATGCCCTTGATTAACTGACCACTGGCAAATGTGATCACCTCTGTCAAAGCAGACATTTTGACAGTTGGCAGGTCTGAAGCATTTGGGTGTGTTAGCAAACTGGCACTATCTTCTCAGTAGTAGTAGTTTTTGTAGATTTTATAGAAATATAGAATATAGGTTTTATAGAAAAAAAAGATCAGACCTGCTAACATTAAGGCAGCTAATATTAGGCTCAACTTTCCTAAAAACCAAAATCACGTTTTTCCTCCTATAAGCACTTTGATTACATTCTCAGATTCTATGAGACTTTATTTGCTAAGTGCCTGAGTTCAACAATGTTAGATCCACTTTAAAGAAAGTTTCACAAATGCTACCTAACAGCAGCTAATTGAAGCAACAAAGGAAATGTTCACTGATAGAAAAGTTCAGGAAATCCTCACCAACTTACGTCAGTACCTTTAATAAACTGATGCTATCCTGTAAAGAAGAGTGGGCCCAAACTGTTAGCAATTTACTTTTTATCTTTAATACAAATATACCTCATTATTTTAGATAATACAAACACCTCATATCACATATTTACGTTTTATCAGTTATCACATTTATGTCACATCTTTTATTACACAAGTAAGTGATATAGAATAGAGTGTTGAAAGAGAACAGCACACCCATGCGATACCAGGTTCTGTGTCTAGAGAGGGGTTGTTTTTCTGCTCTTCTCATACAAGGAGATGTCCAGTAAAGAAAGTATAAGATGAACCAAGCACTGGATCCAGCTCCATATAAGGGAAGAAGCCAAGGCTAAACCAACTTTTAAACAATGACATTAATATTCTTTTTCTGTGTCTCATAATAAAAGTGTTTACTGTTTGGGTGCGGTGCACTTTGTCTGTTTGGCATGCTGAACAGAGGAGGAGACAGGCACTGTTATTATGCTTAATAAATTAGAAAACTTGTACTTTGAGTTTATTTCTTTTTCTTTCTTCCACAATGATGTCAGAGTTTGATAAAATCATACAGAAATCTATGTGTTATTTCAAGTTATTAATGCTAAAGGTGTTTGTACAAGGTATTGAATCATTCCGTGCACTTAGGTATACACTTATGTGAAATTAAAGCTAAAACTAACTTGGAACTTATACTAGAAATGGGGCCAATGTCCAGTCATGCAGTTATATGTCCTGACGGAGCATGGTGATGGTCTTCTTTAGTTTTCCCTAGGAACAACTCTGTGGAACAACTCTAAAATAGCTGCAGCATCATTTCCGACTCCCCAAACAAAAATTCAATTTACCTCTGCATTTAGTTTGGAGCAGAAAAGTTGTTGAAAGTTGAGATATTATCGAAACCCTCGCAGAGCAAAGCTATAACTACGTGGCTGGCCCCCAGAGACCCAAAGCTTTTTTTCTTTTCTTCGTCTGCTTAGTCTACCTTTCAAAACCAAGGACATTCTTTGTGGTACTTTATCGTGGTTGATGTTCCAAAACGTTAACAAGGTTTTCCTTTGACAAGCAGAAGGCTACTAAATGCTTCTTACAAACAGAACTACACGCCTATAGATGTGTATGGATGCGCTGCTAGAGACAGAGACAGCGAGAGAGACACAAATGCTTCGGCGTGTGCTCCATTTATAAAATGTGAATGTTTATTAAATGTTGACAAGAACATTAAAACACAGTATCAAGATTCAGCAAAACAATCTATAGTACTTCACCAAAAATAAAAGGAAAAAAGAAAAACATAGTTAGTTCTGCGCTGGGAATGAAGGACTGGGCGGGCTGGGTGGAGGAGAGCAGAGATAGGAGTAGGGGAAGAAAAACAGAGCAATAAAGGGGATAGGAGTTAGGAGCGGAAAGAGCAGAGAGAGGAATTTAGGAGCCGGGGTTGGCAGCAGAGGCTAAGGCAATTAAGGAGGTACAAAGTAAGAAAGGGGTTTGGGGATGTGGCGGATCGATCGGGAGGGTGTGGATACTCTGTAATGAGTGGGTTAACTGGGAATTATCAGAGCCTCTGATTTCACTTCTTTTATCATCTCTTCCATTGGAGACTTAGCAAGCTGCAGCAGCAAAGAGTGACAATGAAGGCCTTTAACACAGAGGGAAGGAGGGGTGGGGTGGTGGATCATCATGGCAAATAATACATGTCTTTACATTTAAATAACAAGGGAAACATAGCGCTAACGTATACAGTGAGCACAAAGTCATGTTGAGGCGAACAGAGAATTCGGGAGCGGGTTGTCAGGATTCGAGGGCACAAGCGCAGTTCAACACAGTACCAAGAAGGTGGTGTCCATTCTAATGGGATCACAATCACAATAAGTAATAGTTCATTATTAGAATTATGTAAATCTCTCTGTTATCAACACAAATAGCGAGGGAGGCATGTAGTACATAGGCATCACATTACTTCAGAATTCCACAGAGAGACACACCCAGCCTCCTGTTCTCTTGTCTGGCTCATGCACGTTGGGCGTGTACAAACCGACGCATGTGCATATACGTGTACACACAGAAACACTGCAGATACACGCTTGCGCTCACGCATACCGACGCTCCGTCCGGCAAAGAGACACGCACATACTCACGATTCGCACACATACTCAACGAGCGGTCCGATTCCCTCTCCTCGAGCGACTCCGCACAGTTCCAGCTTGTCTCGGAATTGACAATAGCGCACCGCACACTCTGTGCCACAATAACATCTGCAGGCATGTGTAACGTGTCTTCGGCGCGTCTTCGATGAAAAGACGTGGCAGGAGTCCACCACCACGACTTGACATATACCGCGTGTGCACAGCCGAGGTGCTAGCAGAAACACACACAGAAACGGGATCCTTCATCAAAGCACCGGGGATGACAGAAAAACTCACAGCTGTTCCAGTGTCAGAGGTATTAAGTGCAACATTGCTCGGTGCTACACGTTAACTCACTGTCAGCTGGAGCGACACCCTTTAGCACGGATTCAAAACTGCTTCCAAGTGACTCTCCAAAACCAAGTAATCACAAAGGTCGCAAATGTCCAGCAAGGCAGCTATTGTGCCTGAGGAGGTTCAAAAAACTCTTATCATTGTGCCTTTGACATAAAGACTGAAATTTGTGCTGCAGATTAGAGCGGGCATGTGCTTAAGGGATAATCATGTTACTCTTCTTCACTTGGATCTGGCCCAAGGAGCGCCACTCCCCACCTTTTGCTCATTTTATAAGAAGGGGGGGAAAGTTATTTTGCTCCACATGTTGCATTTTCTTCTTCTTTTTTTGAACCAGTGGATTTTGTAAAGTCTATGTGCTTGAGTTCTCTTTGTGTTGTAGCATAGTAAGAAACAGATTCTCATGCTCTAAAAGTCATACACAGTACAATAAAATCTACAGATATTTTAAAGCTTTTATTACATCCAAAAAAAGTTGATTCACCGACTTTAAAAAAAAGAGACGGGAAAAAAATCGGGATTGCACTGTTTTCCGCCCATGTGCTGTGAATTTTTTCTTTCCTTTTTTTTTTTAAACTGACTTCTTCTTTTTTCTTTTTTTGCTTTGTTTTCTGTAGGCAGTTTGGATGTTGCCATAACACGCTGTAGAATTTCTACTGTGAAGAAAAAAGACGGCGGTTGAGAGCGTCAAATCTTATTTTGTAGCAACTTTCGCTCCGTTTGCATGACAAGATAAAACCGTATCGCACAAACCGATTCCACAATAATCATCTGGAAACAACAGAGAGAGGGAAAAAAAGTACAAAAGAGAGGACAAACAAGAAAGGGGGGCGTGAAGTTTCCTCGGGTCTCTTTCAGTGGCTCCATCGGTTTCTTCTAAGTTGTTGTCTTTTCCTGCTTTAATTCGTTACATCCCTTGCAGGCGTATTTCAGCTACTTAGTTGGACAGAGTGCAGGTAAGCCAGCCGTGCATCATGCTTAGTCTTTCTGTGCTAAACATTGTAGTCAATCGAGATGCTCTACTGAACCCGTGACAGGAAATTGATAGTGTTAGAGAACTCTGTCTGTCTGTCTCTCTCTGTCTCAGGCACACACACATTCTCTCTCTTACACACACACACACACACACACACACACACACACACACACACACACAAAGTGCTGGGTTACCATCTGTGAGTGCTGCATCAGTTGGCCAGTACTCAGCTGGCAGGCAGATCAGACAAAGTGCCCAATATGCTCCCTAATGGTCCAAGTCAGATGAATGACATCCTCCGCTGTCTCTTCTTTTTTCCCCCATCCTTTTCTTGCACCTCTTCTTCTTTTTCTTCTTCTTCACCTACTTCATCTCCCCAGTTTGATTCACTCTGCCCCCACCCCCATTCCTTCCACCAATTTAGCTCCTGTCAAATTTTTTCCTCGTTTTCTCCGTCTCGCTCTCATTATCGGAGCGCCCGTACTTCTCGCCACTTTCCCTGCCGGGGCTCATTCGGACAGATCAAAGATGTAAATGTGACGTAGTGCACCACTGCCCTGTCCCCTTCTCCCTGGTAAAACTTGAGTTTCTTTGCAGAGGGTGGGGGTGGGGTTTGTGGGGTTGAATAATTTCCATATTCTGTCTTCATGTTTTGTGAACGGGGGTTGTCTTCACGTATTTTACAGGAGTGGGCAGTGGAACTGAGTGCCATGTCAGCACAGGTTAGGTCAGGTTCATGTCAGGGGGCCCATTTTACTTCAGAGGGGGGCTGGACGACATTGACAGACCCGGAGCAGTGGACTGTTGTTGGTTCAGGGCTCTGGTAAGCTGTTTTTGTGAACTAAACGTTCAAAAATAAGAGCGTCCGGGTTATTCAATTTCTCAAAGAATGGGACCACGGGGAGGATTAAGGTAGCCAGGGTGACTAATAGCTGAGTGAGCGAGGAAGAGGAGCAAAAAAATGGAAGAGAGACATCACGAGAAAACAGCAGAGTCAACTAAAGTCAAAGATGCACGTTTTAGTGAATAAACAATATCGAGACAAGTAACGCCATCAAGCTGTCAGAAACTGTGGTTTATAATGTTTGAAAATTTTCTTCTTCTTTTTTTTCCTTCTCGTGTCAGTTTCATTTATTCTCTGGGTCGCGGGTTGGGCGTATCTTAATCTCGGAGAATTTGAGGGAGTACTGCCAGCCAGTCCAGGAGGACCACTCAATGCCATCGGCATAGGAGGTGTGCTGACCGCGCAGGTACTGGCCGTTAAGGTTGGAGGTGTGGCAGTTTCGGTACCACCACGCGCCATGGTAGAAGGAGGCGCAGTTATTCTCCGAGTGGTCGTTATCTTTGTCTTTGGTGGTAAACTTCATTCCATTGTGCTTCAACAGAGAATCACCTAAAAAAAAAGAAAAGAAAAAAACGGCAATTAAATTTGAATGTGTCAGTACACACAAAATATTCGTATAACTGAAGTTAATGAATAAAACAACATAGATGAATCTGCAATTTCATAAAAATATGTTCTGCATCTAAGAGTGTAATTCAACTGTAATTAAATGAAATTTAAACTGCTTTTTAAACTAAATTACAGTTTAATTATACTTGCCTACAAATACTTAATAGTAGAAATACTAGAATAATGCGGTGACAAATCAGGTTTTTAGAAGGAACAGAGGAACAATTAGACTGTAAGTAAATTTAAGTTCTGGGTATTTTACAAGAAACGCGATCCAAATCGCACAGTTAGAACATTTTCCGTACTGCATCATTTCTTGGTAATTTTGTGGGAAAAACAAAGAACATTTTTGGTAAATGGACTGGTTCTCATCCAATGCTTTTCTACTCTTCTGAGCACTTAAAGCGCTTCACACAACTTGTGCATTCACCCATAAGCACAAGCACAATTTTCTTAGTGCTTTCTAACTAACATTCACACTCCGATGGATGCATCAGAGAGTGTGAATGTCCAAGGATATTTGGCATGCAGACGAGGGGAAGCCAGGAATCAAACCACCAACCTTCCAATCAATAGATGACTGATCCTGCTCTACCGCCTGAGCTACAGCCACCCCCACATTTTCCATCGTACATTGTAAGCACACTGTACCTTTTGGAACACGGACTGTATTATGTGGTGGCAAAACTTTGCCTAACTATCAGATATTTTACAGGACACGAGGATGTTTGAACAGTCATTGTTAAAAAAGGGTTTCTCCCCATCATTATGTCACGAGACCCCATATTTTGATGGGACCTGTTTTTTCTTAATTAATTCTTAATTAAAAAAACCCTCCATATTATGGCCTGTGGCCCAAAAAGTATACCATATTTATGATGCGACATAATTAATTTGATTTCATTGCTAAATGACCATAGAAGTGAAATCAACTCAAAATTACCCACACAGTACTTAAATTTACTTACATTATAATTATGTCTTTGTTTCCTGCAAAAACTGAACTTGTGTTTGTAGGTAAATATAATTGGATTGTTGTTCAAATAAATTAAAGTGAAATTCCATTGAATTCCATTGGGATTTACTCTTTTAGTAAAGTATATATTATAAAGTGTTACTGAAATAATAGCTCCTTTACATCTTTCATCAGAACATTCTTGGTTTAGAAACCTGTAATTAGACATATACACAAGCGATTAACTTCAAAAGACCTCATAACTTTCCAATTATTATTATTTTTTGTTTTGCAGAGAGAAAGAGATAAAAGAATAAAAATACAGCTCCAGTGTCCTCCCGAGTATTTCTTGTCATTAGCTGAAGCAGTAGGTTAGACGGCTTTGTAGGCAGTTAATCAAAGGTTCTGTGGCGACCTTTTAATAACACTCCCCAAATGATTTCATTAGGTTGTTAATGGATACAAATGTTTCAGATGATAGATGAGACATAGTAAATGGTCTGTCTCACATATGTTGATGTCATGGTTTTAGGTACGGCCATATTGTTTTTCCCTCCCTCGAGGTCTGAGTGTTTTCATATCCCCTTGCCCTCTGTGCCCTCATTCCGGTTATGTCTTTGTGTTTGTTTATGTGGTGTGTGTTTACCCTGCGTCTTGCCCCTCAGTCTTTTGCTAAGTCAGGGTATTTTGTCCACTTTAAGATATTTAGTATAATAATGTAACTTTTGTAACAGCTTCAAAGAGCTTTAAAAGCATACTTATTCTATAAGAGGGCATTCTTTCCCATAACCTCTCATTGTGATTATGGCAGTGATGAAAGACCACTGCAGGGATGCGGCGCAGCCAAGTTGCATCACCTAAGTGGACCTAATAGTGGTCTGAAAGGTCAATCTGATCCACACAGCTGAAAATATTGCTCTGACTATTTAAAGATTTATTACTGGCAAATCCTCTCACACTGACAACTGTTTTGCGAGCCGCTGCTGTAAATTCACCAGGAAAATGAAAGTAACGCCCTTGCAGATGCTGCGGTAGACCAAAAGTTTCCTGCAAATGGATGTTGAAAGAGCTCATAATGTTCAATAAACTCCCCATACATTTCCTCCACTCTTTGCCCCTTCAATTTTTTTTTTTTGGAAAAGCAGGCTTCACACTGTGACTAGAAATGGATAGAGGGATAAAGTGGTGAGCAGAATGAAAGAGTGCTCACCAGTCATCAGGTGAAGCCTAACAGCTCGTCGGGGCATCAAACAGCCCTTAATTGCCCAGGATGTGGCCGCACAGCTTCTTACCCTCTCACTTTGCCCTGCTCCACTCGCTATTTGGCATTACTATGGTAACCGCTCGGTAGGAAAAATAATTTGACAGGCATGTCTGATATTCACGTTGTGTGCCGCTTGATGTTAGGAGAAATTAGATAGTGGGGGAGTAGAACAAGGGAAAAAATGCTTACTGGTGTCAACAGTACAATGATGTCCAGAGCTAGGATGAAAAAGGGGGGGGGGGGGGGGCAGCCTCCTCTGATGCCCATTAAGGTCCAGCTGCTCCCAGTAGAAATGAGCACCTGTCTGCTGATCAAAAGCAGCCAGAGCTATGGAAAATACTACTAATAATAACAGCAGAGCTGCTGTGGGGGAAGCTGACGTGATAGTGTGACTATCCCGAGAGAGTTGGAGTAGCCATAATTTGACTGGATTCAAATGTCCAGCAGGCAAACGAGTTCAAGGTCAGGCTTTGAAGAGGACAGGCCTGGAGTTTTACAGGAATTTTAGCAGAGCCATAGCTGGAGGAACACCCCCCCACCCCAATCATACATACAACCCATTTTTCTCTTCCTCCTTCGCTTCATTGCCTTCTCTGTCCCTTAAATATCTCTATCCTCATTTTTATTTACCTCTTTTTCTCCCACACCTGTCCCCCTAGTTCTCCCATCCCAGTTTCTTCCAGTCGCCCTCCTTCTTATCGACTACTCTCCTCCCCGCTCTCATATCTGTCCCCATTCTCTTTCTGTCTGTTCTCAAAGCACTGCTCCCCAAAGCTTCTTTAAATTGCTTCTTCATTTCAATGGCAGCTTTTTTGTTTACGCTGCAGGTCAAGCACGGCAATTAATTGGCAGTAATTTAATCAAGGTGACAGGTAGCTGGCTTGAATCTCATGGTGAGTGAGCAGAGAAACAGACACTAGCAGTCCCTCAGTCTGAGCAACTCTCTGCAAAGCTTAACAAGTGGATACGTCTACTGCACTGCAAAAATAATGCACTGTTATATTTTCTTGAATGCAGAATACGAGAGGCGTTGGCTGGACTTTCGCACACTGCTGTGTTTGCCATTAGGTTGAACAAAGGGGAAAAAAATAATATGTGCAAAACAAAAATGGTGTATACTAATCAGAGTGCACAGTATGTCTTTCAAGAAAAGCCTTAATGAGTTCACTGAGTACACAGCACATACCTGCATTGCCTGAATAGTCTCCCACAGTCAAAGGGTATCCGTCATCATCAGGGTCCACCGAGAAGAGGCCCACTCCAAAGGTGCCATACTGGGCGTACGCTGTGTTATTTTCAAAGTCCTCCAGGTCGATACGTAGCTCATAGTTCCCCTGGATGGACAGGGCATGGATCTGCTTTAGCCCTGCAGGGAGAAAAAAGAGCGAGACACAGACCAAAATAATCCATTACCAAGTACTGCCGTTATTCTCAGCAAGCAATATAAAGCTATTTCAGCAGCCTCTCAATGCCATACATTTTCTGGAAATAAGCTATAACATGGTTTTTGTCCCATTTAGAGTCTCTCCCTGCATGTGTAGGGTTTCTTTCCAAAACAAGATTAGAGTTTCTTTTCAAAGTGTGTGTGGGTGTGGACTGCTCACACTGCTGATTGCTTGGAGGTTAGAGAACCAAGCTGAATCTATTGAATCCATCAGCGTTTCTCCTCTTAAATGAATGGCACCAGACACTGACCCTGCTTCAAGTGTAGTTCAAAATCGTATTGATCATGTTTGTGTATCACAAGATAATATTGGTTTATTTATAAGAACCGTGTTTATGTTTAACATGTTGACTTTTCAGTATGGGTTTTAAGCCACTTGAATCACCAAAGTCTATTGATTACCAGTTGACATTATTTTGAAGGCTCCCAGATAAGGTGGCGATGTCCTGGATTTCTCAAAACAGAAAGGCTGTGTTTTGTATTTTATCATGTGCTTGCAAGGCTTGGCTGCCTTATCCAGGACAGTGTCTTACTTTAAGAGGCGAAGATCTTCTTTCTCCAAAAGAAGAGGGTACCAATGTCCCGTAAGTCAATTTCTAGATTATTTCCCCTTGCTGTCTTGGACAACAAGCATACTCAGCCATAAACCTATCATTTCATCGTCAAAGGATGCATTATTAAATGCAAATTTCACAATCACTGCTCCCTGGATGATAGGAAAATACAGATTTGTAAATCCTGGGCTCACCCACAGTTATTTTTAGAAGTACTTTTTCACAAGATGCTGTGAAAAAAAACTAAGCACGCCTTTACTGCTATCATAGGAATTAATCAAGATCAGTTAATCGAGTGCTGATACTCAAGTGCACTTGATTAATTGATCTGTAGCATTCATGTATGTGTTGACGCTGCCAATCTTCTAGGGATTGACTGTCCCAGAGAAACTGGAAAAAAATCATTAAGCTACATTGCAGACTCTATAGGCCTCAGTTGACATTTTAAATGTTAAAGTTCATGTCAGGACAATTATATGAAGACTGAACAACCAAGGCTCAGCAAGACTTTTCCTTTGGACGGGCCAAAGTGGAGAGGTCTGGTCATGATACACAGCTCTCAGTTTGGCAAAAACCAAACACAACACATCAGCACAAACACCTCATACTAACTGTCAAGCATGGTGATGGAAGGGTGCTGATTTGGGGGGTTTTTTTGCTGCCACTTGACCTGGACAGTCTGCAGTCAGTGAGGTATTCGAGAGTCACATGTGAGTCAAGACTCCCACTGTTTTAAATTAGGTCATGCAACAGGACAATTATCCCAAGCACAACAGCAAATCTACAAAAGAAAGGAATCAAGGTGTCACAATGACCCAGTCAAAGTCCAGACGTCAAACCAAACCAGCAGCAAACTTCAGTGGACTAAAACCATGTGAAGCAGAGTGATACAAAATTCCTCCACAATGAGAGACTGATAGAGTCATACAGTAAATGAATGTCAAGGTGTCGTTACCAAATGCAGTTCTAGAAGCTATTAAATCATGGGTTCTCTAGTATATTGAGACTATCTCTCCACACCGTTACATATTCCATATGTACGGGGTACGACCCCCCTTGGTCGTGGCGTGTGGATATTTCTTTAAGACACTCTGGCACGCCCAGCTACGCCCCACAGCTTACGTATAAAACAGGTGTGCGGACGTGACTTCAGTGATTGTTTGATCTCCACTTGTGTTGTGTGTGTGTGTGTGTGTGAGTGCCTTGAGAGTGCTGTATGAATGTGCGTCCGTCAGGAGAGTGCTTCGGCATCCTCCGTGGGCGCTTCCTCTCCCCCGGTATTCCTCGGTTCTCCCCTGGTAGCCCCGGCATTGCCCCTGTATGCCCTGGTGTTCCCCGGTATTTCCCTGGTATCCCTTAGCTTGGTTCCCCCTAGCTAGCCCTTGCTTCCCCTTGGTTGGTCCCCCTTCCCCGACATATCGCCTCGAAAAAAACATTTTCACAGGCCAGCATAGAGTCTTTTTCACATGACTGTAATTTGCTTTACATTTGTTCCAAATGCACTAATAAAACACTATTTGAACTCTCACATGTCAGGGACGCAATCATTTAAATTCTTATCAGATCTGTGATATTCAAAAAAGAAAGTGAGGGAGGTATTAACAAAAAATAAGCTGCTATTATGAACACAATTTTATCTAAAGCAAGAATCAGATCAATACATGTAACTGGGCATGAGGCGCAGTTTCGGTTAAATCCCGATTAAGTCTGATTTTACTGACGTGTGAAGTCCCAGCTCATTAAGGCTCAGAACCAAATGGAAGAAATGTACTTGATTGGAAATCCTTTGCAAATTAAAAATAGCATCCAAAAAGCATTTTCAGTTTCAAGAAATTCTTAAGTTGTCAATATGTTCTAAGTTTGTGTATTGCTTTCATATCCAAGACATATTCCAAAGACCTCTTTATAAACTCACAGTCCATGTTCAACCCTTTTAGCTGTTTTATATTCATGCCTGTCATCGTTCTCTCGATCCCCCGGATGGATCTTTTAATTATCGCTAAATCCTTAAACGAACGTATGCAAGACAGAAAGTGCCAGAGGGAAAACAGGGTTGCCCTCCCTTCTTCCTTGCCCCCTCCTGCTCTACGTGTCCCCCCTGCTGCGTTGTAGTGATGGCGCTTCCCAGGGCAGGTTTTCCTCTCCTGAGCTGATCAAAGCTACAAGTTACACAGTGTCAGGCACAGAGAAGCAGGAAGAACTCTGTCTAGGTCCGCTTAATACCAAATACAAGGCAGGAAGAAAAACAAAAGTGAACTTTGCCTCAAGAGTTTGTTAAACATCCTCTGCTATGCTTATAAGTGCACTCTGTACTGTTAGTGTTTATGTGAGAGAATAAAAAGAGAGAGGAAAAAAAATTGAAATGAGTGCATGCACCGATGGAAGAGCTTCAAAGGCTTTATGGTTTGGAATAAGGGTTGGATTTAGCGCATGTGGAGCATGCTGCAGGCTACAATTTCTGGTTTAGGGTTTGTTTTACTGTCTGTCCCGTAACATGACTCAAAATCACCATCAAAGGTACTTCACCAGAGAAAGGAAGATGTTTTTTTTTTTGTTTTTATGAACCTAAACACTGTCATTTTACCTCCTACGGCAATCATCACCTCCACAAATGAAACTCATTCTCCTTTTTAAAGCTTACAAACCTCAAACTGACTCGGCCTAATTTGAATTCCATCGCTGTCGAGAATTGCTCTCTGAGAGTGCCTCGACTGAAGTAGAGGGCTAATTTGATGACAAACACAGCTGAAAGAACCCATTATTATTCAGAGACAGAAGCTCGCAGTCTGGGCCCAGGCACTTAGTTTGGATTTAATCTAGCCCAATGGGAGGTTGATCCCGTTCTTTTCATTTTCACAGTAGATCAGCAAATTGGAGCTGGAGAATCAGTTATTAATACAGTCATAGGCAGGTAATAGTATGCGTGCGGGTTTCCAGCGAATAGTTAAAAGTTTTCTACGAGTATACGAATGCTCGGGATTACACACAGTAAAAACACAGCGAGAACGTGACACACATTAATTGTTTTCCACATGCCTTCAGACAGAAAATCCCGGCACATTCGCAGAAATATTTTTTGTGTCATAACCCTTTGAGAAAAAGTATCAATCCACACAAACACCTAAGGGAAAAGTACCCCAGAGTGATTTGACAAACTTCAAAAGAAAGACTTAGGATGTTTTCTCTTTCGGGTGGGGGGAATGCCAGATGCAACACAACTCTATTTAAAGACTCTACGGCTTCCAACTGTATTTACATAACTTTAATTCAGTCCCTAATTAAAGCCCCAGAGAATCTCAGCAAGACTCCAATTCAGAATAATTAAAGAGGAAGACAAGTGAAATAACAACAGAGACTTCTTTGGTTAAAATCTAAATGCTCAGGTGTAACTCTCTCTGTTAATTAAATGTTATTGTTAGGTTATTTAAAAATGGATTCTGGTACATGGGAGGATTTTGAGGTGTTTTGCTTCAGTATTAACATGCTGATTGCTCTGCTGGGGCAGTGATTCTCTCTCTTCTCGCTGATTTGCCATTTAAGAGAAGCAAAGGAGGCAAACAGAAAACTTGTCCTCCTGTCCTCCTGCGCGCTTCACACGAGCAATTAGGGCATGCTTTCTTAGTTCCCTTTGTTCTAGCTATAGTGGCATATCATTATCTATTTTGATGTACTGTATCCTTTCTGCAGCCCGTTAATATTAAAATGTTACAACTGACCAGAGACTAAACCCATGTATATATACATGGGAAATGCAATAATTAGATCTTCAGTACAAATAGCTGAAAATAAATGTGGTTTTCTATAACAATGGCAAAAAAAGAGAAAAGATACGATATGATTTTATTTCAGAGCCAGTTAAATATTTAGATTTGAATTGCTTTTCTTGTATAGAAGCCGAATGAGATCGGTGAGGTCAAGGTTGGTAGTGCTACATTGTGGAAGCCTGTGAGGCTGAAAAATAAAGCCAATGCCAAAAAACTGCAGTTGCTCGACTGACCAAAGGCGACCCGCTCTACCGTAGACTCACATGTAGTACAAACATTTTCTGCTAAAGTCACCTCCACAAAGGATAATGCTTCCCAGCTCATCTGTTTGCAGCTATAGCGGTTGCTGCACAGCAAGAGTGTCCTAGTTTTAAATGCACATGCAGGCTAAGCTCCTTTCTCTGTGGATTTTGCATGTTTTCGCTGTGTGGGTTTTCTCCAGGGATTCTGGCTTCCTCCCACATATCTGTTAGATTAAATGGTAAATCTAGGTGTGGATGTGAGAATGAATGAGAGCGTGAATGGTTTTCTCTCACCCATCCAGAGTGTATCCCTCTCTTTGCCCTATGACAGTTGGGATAGGCTACACCCCTCCAAAACCCCA